GTCAAAAGTTTTTTTGTTTGTTGTTGGATCGAAAAAGTAGACCTGAAACAATCAACACTGGCCATGCTAAACCAGTCTATTTTGAAGATGGCAAACTGAAGTCAGGCTAACAAAGTGCTCAGCCACGAATAGTAAAGTCAAAACCATCTGATCGTAGAAACCCATCTCATATTTGCCGTGCAAGATCCAGCCTGACAGATTTGAAGCTAGTTAACGGGGGCTTAAGTAGCCACTTTACTGCTCTTTATGGTGGGCTTTTGTTAATTTAAAGCTTCTAAAACCTGCAGGAAATCCGCTAACGTACGGCCATCCTCCAAGTGTGACCTGAGTTAAGCTATGGCTGCGTTCGCACATGGGTCTATTGCACGTCCATTGGCCGTCGTTGTCTGTCCGCGTAGGCCCTCGTTACTACGTATCCCTGACTCAGCCCTTAAATTGACCAAGTAGGTGTCCAGCAGTCAATTAATCACTCCTTCATACGAAGACAGAGAAGCCACATGCTCGTAAACAACCCCACGTTTGCTCTCGCACCCCAAACGGACGCTTCTTATTGTAGCACAAACAAACAGCCAATCTACGACTGTCTACACCGTGTAATATAGTTGCTCCCTCACTTCATTGGCTTTCCAAACTAGGCAGCAAAAACGGTCCGTAAGCAGGTAAAGTTGGACTCACATCATTGACCGCCAGCAAGTAAATTCATCTGCACGGACAACACACAATCTATCATGCATCGATGAGAGCCATGATGAAGACGTTGCGTTCATAAGGAGAAGTTTATTGGCCGTCCGATGTCTGGAGTAGTAGTTATGCCCAAGCATTTTCGGAGACTTGCATTTAGTGCAGGCAGTCGCTGTCTGTGTGGGATGAAGCTTAAATAAATAAATTAATTAATATTCCGGGCAGTAAAAAACTCCCACATCGGTGGCTGAGTTCAGCGAGCCACCAATTTCCAAAAAAATGTAGGAGAAAAAACTGCCTTAACAGGTAGCATTATATGAAGGGATGCAGTTAGATGGGACCCTGCTGTTGAGGGTTCGGAACGCTTATTGTCGTTGGAAGAATAATATAGTATCATGGCGGTGAGTTAAGAAGGGGTCATCCGGGACAACGGGTTGAAATGAGGAGAGGACAGAAGTCAAGGCAACACCACCGAGATGCGACCCACCAGACTGCAGAGTCCAGCGAAAAGTTGGCGCCAACGTGAGAACACGCGATGACCATCAATAGCGACCTTGAAGACTACCGCCAAGGTTGCAAAACGGAGTAGAGTTTGCAGCATTTGGAATTGATGCCTGAGTCTGCAGAAGAAAATGTTGACATATTTAAAGACCACTTTACTATCCTGAAAAGAGCTTCAAATGCCAGGAGGACCCTTTCCGAAATCCACAAGTTGCGTGTTTGGAAAAGAAACAGACAGTAATTACTTTATTTCCTCCAAATTTAAATGTATACGTAATTGGCCTTTAAAAATCGGTAATGTAAAATACAGCCTAATTTCGAGTGGAGGATTGTTCCA